TTCCTTCATTCAGAAAATATATGTTAAGCACCAATTGATTGACAATGGATAATTTTAGTTACTAATGTCAAAATTAAATTTTCACGTGGCAACTTTTTGTTTTCAATAAAAACAATAAAGTTATATGCTACATAACAAAGATTTCTTCATAAAAGCCCTGTATGCAGAATGGAGGCAACATCGGATGGTTAGACTTAATGATATAAACGATGTCTTCAGTTTGGGTGAGCATAAGCCTATGATAATTGCACAATACTGAAAATCCAAAGCACCATATTAGGCAGATCGTGCTCTTGTCATTTAACAAAACATGAGGCCACACACTAAAATGAATAAATACTACAAATCATAGTGTTGGAATATATTTGGAAATCTGAATATTGGGGAGGGAGGAAGTTACCTTATCCGTATCAAATCTTGAACTCCTAAGCACTGTATCTTTTTCTTCCTGTCTTTTACGACACATTTCACATTGATGTTTTTCTTCAACTTCTTTTTTATATTGCTCTTCTTTTTCAGTTAATTGCTTCCTAATTTTTTCATAAAAGTAAAGAGCATTTATTGTTTGTTGTTTTAGGTCCAATCTGCAGTTAAATATGCTGATCTTAGAATTCATTTTGTTACAAAACAAGTTCATTTTGTGATCTGGTTCCTCTAATGTTGATTATTATCCTAACAATATGTTTTGTATTGTCATATTTTTTCCTTTATAGTGCCGTGCTTTTAATTTCATAGTTCAAAATCTGCAAAGGACTTATGTACTTGAAAAATAATAATGAAAGAATATTCTGTGAATTTATATTTCTGTTACCCGTACTTCTATTCATATATAAAAGGATCTTTGAAATTATTATGCAAAGTGAAGAATTTAAAGTTATCTTTTAACATGGTGATAATCCAAAAACTAATTGTACAAATTTGATACAGAAATTGAGAAACAACGACCTGATAACCAGGTAAGTGTGTTGCTGCCAAGCCTGATGACCTTAATTCCATCCCCAGAATCCACATGATTGAAGGAGAGAACCAACAACCACAAAAGGTTCTCTGATCTCTACATAGCACACATGCAATTCTCCAAAAGACTATGAAATAAATAAATAATAAAAAGCATAATTTTAAACATGAAGTAACACAAATGGCCAGCCCAGCATCTGTAGAAAATATGTTTTGCATCCTTATGCATGACCAGGAAAAACACAACTTAAAGCTGTTCGAGATTCCATCTCACCGAAAGAATAAGGGCTATCTGTCATTAAGAAACCAAATGACAACAAATTCTAGCAGGGACAAGAAAAACAGGTAGAAATGTAAACTGGGATGGCCACAGTGAAATTAGTATGGAAGTCCCTAAAAACCTAAACAGAACTCTCATGAGATCCATGTAAACTACTACTACCTGGTATTATACCTGAATGATTCTATGTCAACATAACACAGATCCTTATGCATACATGTTTACTCTCACATTATTTATAAGAGCCAAGATACAAAACTAGCCAATGTTCTATGCACAAATGAACATATAAAGAAAATGTGGTAAGTATATAAAATTTTAAGCATCTGTGAAGAAGAGAACTTGCAGAAAAATGGGCCTCAAAATCAATATGTTAAGAGAATTTAACCTGACTCAAATATCGTATCTTCCTTCATATGTAGAGTCTAGATTTAAATTTACATATACATGCATACATGTACATGTATGAACCCTATAAAAGTATTAACTATTTCTTCATCTTAATGGATTATTGTTATACCCATAGATAAATTCATCTCTGAACTTTCATCCTTGAAGCTTCTTTCTGCAGCACATGGTGATTGACACAGAGACCCTAATTGGGGGGAACATGTGGAGAAAAAGAGACAATGGAATGCTCAGCCCTAAATTGGACATTTACATCACACCACTGCCCTAAAGGCTTAGAGAGGGTGGTAAAACAGCAGGCAGAGACTGTAAGAGCCAGAGCCAGAGGCAGTTGTAGACATGAAGTCACAGCCATTGTGAAGGCAACACGACCGGGGGAACTTTAAAGCAGACAACATACCTGCATGGGGGAAGGAGGGCAGCATGGAAATCTAGCCCCAGCTGAGGATCAACTGTGAGATATTCATCTTACGGGGTTAAGATCCAAAATAAACAAAGAACATGGAAGTAAACACTGTTG